CATAGCACCGAGAGATTGGGACACAATTCGAATTTATTATAGACAAAGCGTGTAACTCCAACTGTCATTACAAAAGTTCGCATTCTTTGTTAGATTAAATTGTTAACAAATAGTGTAGTTAAAGCTATATGCAATGAGTGTATAAAAAAACTTTATTATAGTCTTACATTGTCAGTAAAAGTGGGTTTTTGCAAGAGTGTTTCAAAAAGTTATCTCATTGACGAACAGAAGTGGATAATGCAATGATTAAGCTCGTGCGGACCAAGCAGTATTCAGTATGATTTTTTAATTAGTAACATAAACATTCGTGTTTCGCTTAAAATCTTAAATAGATTCTATAAATTAAGTGTATGAACTAATAAGTATTTGAACTAATAGCCAAATATCCACTCTAAGGGCATAGAAAACTAAGCATAGTAGGAGTTTTCTGACCTCTCTAATGTTTCTTCATAAACATTTTCAGCAAGACATCTATTTTCTAAAGTTCTTTTCGTCATTATGAATTTCCTACTCTGGAAATAGCTACATAGAGTTGATCATAAAAGAAACCTTTTCTAATGTTTATAATAATTCGGTCCAATTGTAAGAAAATCCAGTTCTACTAATTTAAATAAATCTGTATTTTTTTCTGCTAGGGATTTGTAGTAATGTTAAATGTCAGACGACCACAATGGTTATAACGAATGCTGCAGGAATTAAGATCTTAACTAACGTTAACGGGTTTAAAATAATAGAATTCTATAAATATTTTAATATCTTTTTTAAAATTATTTATTTTATGTCTACTTCTTAAAAAGAAAAAAATGGTTAAAATTAAGGTTACATTTATTGTTTTTAGTTTAAAACTTATATTCCTTCTATAAAAACACGATGAATTAAAAAAAATCAACAAAAACATTGCTTACATGTATAAAATTTAAAATTAGAATTTAAACTAATTACACAGATGAAATATTTATTAAAATATACTTTTAAAAATCATTATTATGTTGTATTATTTGTTAGTAATATATATATATATATATATATATATATATATATATATATATATATATGCTTTACAGCAAAAAAGTAAATTCCATAACGATTTGTTTTTACCTATGTAAGTTGGAGCACACAAAGAAAATTTATCTTTATTGTGAATTTATAAATTAGGACAGGAATTATTTTCTCGTTAAAGTTCCCGCTTTATTTTACCAAACTTGTAATTAATAATAATTTGCTATCAAAGAGTTCGGTAACTAAATGATTAATTATAATCGTGTTTGTTCCAAAGTAGAGAAGTATGTTGTTTATTAAGCGTAAATATTATCCAGTCGAATGTAGCAAAACAAAAACAATATTTGTTACAAAAATACACTTGAATACCAAAGAATATAGAACGAAATTATTTTTTTTCTTTTAGGAATTTAATTGCATAACAATAACAAGGCTAATTTTCAGTATTTTCATTACGTAGTAATATTCAGCTTTTTTGTTTTTTGTAGACTTTCATGTTCCTCAAAGAATGGTTACACACACACAAACACGCATATAGATATCTATTTTCGATATATATATATATATATACATACATGAATGACAAAGTGGAAAAAATTCTGCGTAATTCATTTCGTCCTCTTGAAGGACTTTATCGGACTAAAGTAAATGATTTTACTGATGTGGTCGGAGGAGGAGATATTAAAACGCGAGTGTCGGTTATAATTAATATAACGTCTCTTCCCCCCCCAACTATGGGTTAAATATGAGGGTAGTTTGGGCTCTCTAGCCTTGAGAAAACACCAGTCTAATAGAAGGAAAAGCCAGAATTTCAAACAGGGGAAAAGCAACAGGAAATCACTCCAATATCTTTCGTAAAAATTGATGGCAATTGACAGATAAGCAAGAAAATGAATCTGTGTAAAGTCATATTGAAGAAGTATGGCATCACACACACACACACACACACACACATATATATATTATTAATTTTTTGTACGAATATCCACTAAAAATAATGTTTGAGGTAATATATATATATATATATATATATATATATATATATATATATATATCTTCTCCCCCCCGTTCTCATTGCTGAAGGTCGGGGACCATGGAAAATTGTTAGGGTTTGGAATTCAGAATTGACCTTATCTTAGACTGGTTACAAAACGCAGGTTGAGTGCCTAGTCTTTACTACTATTTAGCCCATAGCTGGGGAATGTGAAAAAATTAGATTCATACATTTGCGCGTAAGTGAATGCAATGAACGCGACTGAAATTCGAACTCAAATCTCCTATTTCTCATTTCGAGTCTCTGTCTCTATTACACCACCACTTTTGTTTACGATTCTCATCGGGATAAAAAAGAAGACATCGGTAGGTCCCGAATCCTTTTTCGATCATTATCCGAAAGTTGCCTACCGAGCCGCAGCTTATCACAAGGAGTAAGAAGTTGACCATTTGAAGGGATGTCATCAAGTGTTCCGTCTACTACAGTTTTGAAATCAGAGCGATTCTTCTCCTAGACTTTCGGTCAATGATATCCGTATTCCAAGGATTAGCGAACTATGCAATGCAGGGACCTCATATATATATATATATATATATATGTTTATATATATATATATATATATATATATATATGTTTTTTTTATATATATATATATGTTTAAATATATATATATATATATGTTTATATATATATGTTTAAATATATATATATATATATATATATGTGTGTGTGTGTGTGTGTGTGTGTGTGTGTTTTTTTGTAAAATTTATAATTGTCGTCCACCAGCCTAGATATCGAGAGTGTTTAACTAGGAATATGTATCTTTCGCCAGGGAAAACACCACATAGATCGTCATGCTTTTGCATCGCTCAGTAACGATGGACTCTGTGTGTCTGTGTGTGTCTGTGTAGATTACGTTTTGCATATGGGGGGATTTAATTATTTTTCAAATGTATTGGTAAATTAATGTTAAACTCCAGAAAAATCAATTAACAGCGTCTACAAATGAATTTCTGCTTGCCCCCAAAATAAAAGAAATTTCAATTTTAGAATTTCCTTAAGTCTGCCTTTCATTGTCCCATTTCATTGTTTTAAACAAAACACTTTCAAGCATTTGTCAAGAGTTCTTGCTGAATTTTGTATCCTTTTAGAATGAGACTTATTATGTGATTAACAGGTGCACATGGCTATAAATATATAAAAATCGTATAAAATAGAAAAACTTCATAATAGTAAAAATATAGCTAGAAATATTTCTTTTGCAACAAAATTTTACAGGAACAGAATAATAAAGTAAATAAAAGGCAATAGGACGAGAAAGATTACAGCTGTGAATAAAAATAGGTAGCAAAATTTAACATAACAATAAGCACAAAGAAACATCTCATCACTGGCGTTACTGTCTATATTAATAAAGTAAAAAGAAAATATTTTACTTATGTTAACGCTAGAATACTTATGAAACAAGAAATACATGCTAAACATTGAAACTGATTGAAATGAAAAGATGAAAGAAGAAGCGAATTGTCATTGGAGATGGAAAAAAAAAACAGGAACATTGCAGACATTTAATTCAGGTTGACTTCTAAATCAACAAATAAAACTGCTAAGTGAATTCTACGGAATCCTGAAAGCACAACATAGGGAAGGTAAGCAGTGGTGGATTCCACGACGGAAAGCTGCGGGAACAAAAGCACATGCCAAAGCAAAAGGTTTACCAGAAAATTAGCTGTTCTTTGCCCACCCCTTTAAATTGGACATAGATCGAAAGATTTAAGCATCAGCGAAAACCTCTACAACACGTGCTTCTGTGATATCGATTAGGAAAGACAGTGGATGGGGGTGGGCAAGCAGTGCATATGGAATGGCAAGCGCCAAATCGTACCTGTGAATTCCTCTTGGGATTAGCAGATTATCCCATTGTGTATTTCTCCCATCAGTTCCATATTCATTTTGAAAGTAGCCATTTTAAAGGAATGTCAATTCAGATAGCGAATAATACCTGATTGCTTCCTTGTTACTTTGTTTTCAAGACAACAGTAAACATTGTATTTAATTAGGAGAAAAAATAACATCTTTGAATTACAAGAAAAATGAGACCATTATCATCCCATTTGAGAAAAGTTACGAAAGGAAAAAAAAAATAAATAAGTCGAGTCCCTTTTATAAAGTAAATAAAATATTTGAGGTCTCCTTTTGGAAGAGTCTATTTTTGCCATTTCGTGAACATTTCAAATAATTATGAGGACGGGAAATTAACAGCACAAAAGCAAAAAAAACAACATTGAGACCAAATGTGTGAAAACGTTAAGCAACAAACAAAGGAACAATTAACAAACATACAGACAAAATAAAATAGAAAATGCAAACAAGGAACACATAAAAGGAACGTTCATTTTGAAAAGAAAAATTTCAACACACATATTTAAAGAACTTATTTTCAATACTATAAAACAAATCTTGCAATACTTAAAACATTTATGAAATTTAACGCCCAAACTATTAACATTTAAAATAATTGTGTTTATAACGAATATAATTTTTCTTTACTTTTAAACTATTTCTAAAATATTAAATTTTAACATAATTTGAGAATTGAACTTAAAATATTATTTCTAATTTAAAAAACTACTTAAATATTTAAAATAATTGTAAAATCTTGAATAAATATTTGATGCTTTGATTTAAATTTCTATATATTTGAATAACATTGACCTTAGTATCTATAGTTTCTCACAACATACAATCTTTTAAATTCTTTTTTTTATATATAACCGAATTATCGAAGCGAAACTAAAATGATTGCAAAAAGAGTTCATTCTGAATGTTAACTGATTTGGGTAATTAATATTATTATCATCCATTTTGACTAATAAACATATAATATGAAAAAACAAAACTTAAAGGATTCTTTCCTTAATTTCCAATTTGTTTTCTTTTTTCTTTTCTAGTTTTTAATTTTGCTTAAGTTATGAAACACAAGTACAAGACACACATATATACTCACCAAACTTAATAGGACAGTAATTACGAGAAATCCTACAGAAATACCAAGGATGACGGCAAGTGTATGTCTAGTGGACACGCTACTGCTTTGCACACCAACGATAGCTGGCGTGGTTCGAGCCTCTTCCATTTGTTCTTTATTGAACGCCTCTTCATTGACATCTGATCCTGGTTTTTTGTTAGCCTCTTTTTCGGCAGCGGCTTGTTTCTTCTTTTCTTTCCTTGCTCGTTTCTTTTCTTCTCGGTTATCCACTTTTTCTTCGCTGCCTTCCCATGTATACGGATCGAATGTAGATGGCGGAGTGGTCAATCGTTTACGGTTATTACGACGAGAATTTGGCCTCCGTCTTCTTGAAACTGGGGTAGTCAGCAGCGGTGTTGTCATCTCTTGGAATGTGGTAAGCTCATCTGTAGTTTCAGTCTACACAAAATTGGTAAAGAAAGATTATTAAAATGTACATGGATATATCTATACTTCAACATTTTCTTAGCATTCGAATAAAATATATAACTATAAGGATATGTTTTACTTTATTAAATATAGATAACCTATGTTATAAATATTTCTCTATGCTTGGATATGTGTTTGTGACGCTAATAAAACAAAAACCGTACACCACCATACTGTAATTTTTAGTACAATATTATTCTCCATGATAGGGTAACTATCACGGAGAATAATAATTTCTAATTAGATAAATATAAATTGGCAATGAAATCTAATATCTAACGGGGTTAAAAAGTAGTTTCCCTAAGTTATCTTTAAGAAAATAAAAGAAATAACGAGGGAAAATGCTTGGCATGTCTGCACTCTTCTCCGTCAGTCATCATGGCATACCAGTGACGATATTTTAATAATAATAATAATAATAATAATAATAATAACGAGGTTTTGTGGTAATAAAAATATGAAAATAATTGTATATATATATATGTGTGTGTGTGTGTGTGTGTGTGTGTGTTATGGTCCGGTTCCTTGTACCACGGTGATAGTCCAAGGTAGAACCAATAAAGAAGAACTCGAAGGCGGATATGGAATAACACAGATATATTACAAACAGGAATATATACAGAGAAGTAGAAAAGTGTTAGTACGAACAATCAGGTTTAGTAGTAATTGTCCAAACACGACTCTGTTTCGGTCTGCCTCTGACTCGACTGACTGACTCGCTCGCTCTGACTGACTGACAAACTCCTGAAGGACTTCACTCAGACTTCAGACGAAACTCTCAGACTTCAGACGGAACTCTCCGCTTCCTCTTGAGTATTTATTTATTATTGAGGCGCAGTATTTATTACGTATGGCATAGTCCATTATGTTATTATGGGTAAGGTCCCATAACAATATATATAAAGGAAGTGACTTGTTATTTACTAAACATTGATCATGACGAGGTTTAGTCTAGTTTTTGAGCATTAATTGTAGCTCGAAATCAGCTTGTTAACCATTACCCTATCTCAAGATGCTCATATTTAGGAACTGACATTTAAGCGAGTATATATAACATAAAGTAAGAAAGTATTGAAAATATTTAACGTATTTAACTTCACAAATTCAAATGTGAAAATGACTTACAACTATGAATCCTTTCTTTTAATTACGCCATAAAAATGTTGATAAGGCACAGATTTTATTTATATTTAGTTTCTATAAACGAATAAATACCCTCAACAAATTTGTTAAAAGTTCATTTTCTTAAGATCTAAAAACTATAAAACTTATGTATTTGTTTCCTTTTTTTTCTTTTTTGTAATTCTAATTGATGTTTTGGCCAGATGAGTCCCTAGATTCATCCATTGATTACATCAGAATAATTAAATACAGTCTCTTTAAACTGACACATAATATTGATTTCGATTAAATCTAATGGGTGCCAGGTCCGAATCTCACCATTTCCACACACACACACACATATATATATATATATGAGTTGTAGTGAAAATTCAAGATGAAAACTTTTCAGTTCTCAATCGTACAACATTGAAATTATTGTGATACTTGTTGCCGTGTTTGATGTGTCATAAGGCATCCTTTTTAAGTCACAAAATATCTTCCAGTCCCTATAATCAAAGTTTAAGTATCTAGAAGCCCACTCATATGTAAAATGTGTTAATATATTAATGAATTTGATTTCTCGTTGGATGTTATTTTTTAGGCTATTTTATTTCGTTGTATTTATGCCTCTGCTTCTGGTCAACTTAATCCAGCCATTTATAATTCCACGATCTTTTCACATGTTTTAAGTTTTATCTAAAATAATCACGTGATATTAAGTGAAACTGTTTTCATTCTAATCAGTTCACGTCAAAGATTTCCTTTAAATCATTCGACAACAAACATTTGATTATTCATTTCTACTGGTAACTAAATATTTACAAAATAATTTTAGATGGACAGAGACCAAGAAAATGTATTCCATATCTTAATTATTCATTTTACATTGATATTTACCCAACCTAAGCTTTGCTTTTGCTTTCAAAGTATGGAATTTTTATTCATTACGTTTATTATTCTTTATAACCTTATTTAAGATAGAAATGTGTTTTTTTTAAAGAATTACTATTAGTTCAAATGAACATTGTTAATAGACATTATTTTATTTACCAAATCCGCCAATTAAGTAAATGCATTATTATCAAATACTGACGTTTTGTTTACATTTGGATATTGTGTTTGGACAACGCATATATCCTAATTGCAGAAGTTCTCACTAAAGAGAAGTTCGCTAATATAGCAAAGAGTAACATTAACTCACACCTGCAAGATTAACTTTTATTCTCGTCTTGAAGTTTAAAATAATAAGATTGAACATTTTGAAATTAAAAAAGTTAACTAGAAAGAAAAACTAAAATATATTTGGATAAAGCCAACAATTGATTATATTATGCTCGATTCCATATTTTAGAATTTTCTAAAAAAATGTGAAAGCAACAACAATTTGATCATCGATCATAAAATTTAGCTGAAAAAAAAAAAACAAAAAAATACTTACGATAATTTTGACGTGAATCCTGCTTGACAACAAGAACAGAAAAGAGTGAATACATTCAAGAATATTAATGCAGCTAGTCTAATATCTTGCTCTAATTTCTTTCAAATGTGCAGAGTATAAAAAATTTCAAATAATGGATTTAATATTAAGTACGTTTTCAAAATTGATTTTCTTAATAAATAGATTATAAATAGAATTTGTTTACATCAAATCATAAAAATTGTGCTTTAAGTCAATCAAATAAGTAAAACTCTCAAAGGGCTTGAGGAGTAGGTCTGATGAAATTGAAAGCAAATAAGCCAAATAAAAGAAGCAGTTAAGAGGTGCAAGATCAAATTAACACTTACAGTTCAAACATATTATAAGGCATTTGTGCAAGTCTCTTTTCATTTTGTACTAAGACAGCTAATCAGCGGCAAAAATATCCACAGCTGTTGAAAGCTTTAGATATTTTGGAACATTTTCTCGTTGTAATTGGGAAGAAAAATCAGACACATGGCAAGAGAGGAAGTCAAAACGAGCGCAAATGTAAACATAATTGAAAAGCAATCATCACAAAGGAACAATCAAAATAGTGGAAGTAAAAATAACCCAAAAAAAAAAAAAAAATCAACATCAGATCAAAAAGAAAAAAAAAGAGTGAAAGCAAAAGGCTGAAAATAATTTCAATCTGGTTAGGTGGGGGGGGTATTCGGTCGAGTTGAAGTAAGGGATTTCGCTTTTAAAAATTTATGTAAAAAACCTCGCAGGTTTTAAACAGAAATAAATAGATTACTGAAGAAAAAAACAAAAGCAATAAAGTACGATCATGTTTATGATCAAGAAGGAGAAAAGGGGAACAGGGATTTGATTTTTATTATTCGAATTTTCAATTTTTGATATTAATAACAGTAAATAAGTAAATTGTAAAGAATCAACGTTAACATTAAACTTCTAAAAATGTTGGTAAAAATTTCGGATAATATTGAACAGTCACATGTTCTTTATCAGTCAACTCCCATCTGTTAAAGCCTACAAGTTGCAGTTTGTACAAATTCACTAGCCACGTGTTCGAACTCACGTTAAGTGATTCGAGGATAAAATTAAAAGTTATTTTCTTTAAAATAATTATTCTAGTGAGTAAACATACAAAACTTTAAGCATAAAATTTCTAGAGAGTAAAAATATAGAGGATTAAAAATAATTTTATTAAATTTTTATGTTAAATTTAAATGTTCTATTGTTCATCCATTGGCATAAATGATTTTTTCATAAGATTTAAGTATTATAATTCTGATGATGTTATGCAAAATGTGAAAAATTTATCAGATATTCAAAAGTTACCTCTGAAATACTTTCGATGAAACTGCGCATAAAGTAATTGTCCATTGAACTTTAAATATCAATTTTGTAAATATTTTTATGTTTCTGATTTGCATGGGGCTTGGTATTTGAAAACAGCTTGTATTTGTAGTTTAGAATTGCTGTATTTAATATCCGCCATTGAAATCCAAGTTGAACTTATCGAAAACTTGCTATTGCTATAAATATCGAAAGGAAGTATCGTAGTATTTAATTAGTTTTAAAATAGATTTTTAAATGAATATAGTCACGATATATATTTTGATTTCTGAATTTAGGCAGACAAATGCTAAATGTTTATTACTATTAAATAAAAATACCCAACATTTTGCAAGTTATCATCTGATTAAAATTAACATTTAATTAAAGTGATATAATCTCATAGTCTCTATTGGAATGTCCATTTTTTTCAAATACGCGGTAAAATTTTATGTTGTGATAAAATTATAAATAATTAATATTATCTTGAATGAATCAATTGCATTAAAATTTTATATCAAAGCAGATTTTAATCTACATTATAAGTGATCATCTAGTGGCTGTTTTTAAGGGTGACGACAGCTGTAGGAGAATTGGGTGTATGTGATGAAATAGGATTTTGATAATTATGAATGAGTCTAATGATTTGTATTTTGTGATGTTGAAATTTGTCAATAGTAATGAGACGAAGAGAGGAAAAGGCTTAACATTCATTATCATATTTATATATTAATATTATATATTAATATATAATTTATATATAATATATTAATATATATTATATTATTATATATTAGTCATATATATTATATATATTATATAATATATTATATATTATTATATATTATATATTAATGTTATTATATTTATAATTCATTGCATATGATTGGATAAAGAACAAAAATGGAGCATTTATTTTATATGCATAGTGTCAAGCAAAGATAACTGGAAATATTTAAGATGATAATAATTCAGGGAAAAAAGATAATATCGAATATATTAATATGTATAGAGATTTCACTTAGTCTGATACAAGGCTTCCAATGTGAAGTACCTTTTCATGACCGAGTCGCCGCTTCAGTTGTCATCATGTGCAAGGCGATCTGGCTAATATTGCCCTACGACAATCACAGACAACATTAGTCAACAGATTAACTGAATATTTTGATGGTAAGTAAAAAGATTATCTTTGTTAACTTTTATGATTATTATGTCAGTTTATTCAAATAAGAAATCATTTAAATTTATTTAAAACCATGAAAGGAGTTTCTACTTGGTTATTTATTTGCCCTTTTGTTCTTCTATAAAAGGCAATATTTTCTGCCTTACCGGATGTGCAAAGATGAGAAGTCATAAATCGATAACAAGTTATTCACCTACCTCCTTATCATTCAAATAATAAAGTCACATCAATATGACCAAAGAACTATGTTTAGGTTTTGTGCCAAAGATCTCTTCACGATGACTGAGTGTTTGTAGTACTAATTTAGATTCTAGTCTGTATCCATTACTCGGAATAAGAGCTTAAAAATGAGAACTTTAAAGCATTTCAATTGAGTCTTTATCTAATCAAATTTAAAGTCATTCAGTGATTAGTTATACGCAATCTTTTATGTAATATGACATATTTTAGAAACGGACAATGTTACTGATGAAAGGAAAACATTTACATTAAAAGTTTCCACTTAATCGTTGTAATATTCATTGTTCATCTGTCGTCTCTGGGTTTTTCATGCTAAACGCAAACGTCAGGCTTAACGATTGCGTTTAACGTGAAACAGACTGTTGCCTCTAGGTGTTGAATTCAATGCCCATTTTTATATTTACATACGCTCTATCCCTGATATTGAGCACTATAACACATAAATATAGCCCACCTGTAAAATTTTATCATATATATATATATATATATATATATATATATATATATATATATATTTTCGTACCTGTAGAACTCCTTTTCGATTTCTTGCTTCCATGATAAATAAAATTTCCCAAAATTTAAACGCAACGTCATCTGTCTTTTTGAAATCTGTTCCTTTTTTGTCCTTTCCTCAATCATCCCCACTAAAGTCTCATTCTCTTTAACACCCTGTAATCTCCTGCGTTCTAGTGCTATTTTCGCTTTGTTTGGGGTGAAACGACGATTAAATATATATATATATATATATATATATATATATATATATATATATATATATATATGTATGTATGGATAAAGATAAAAGGAAAAACCTATTGTTTTTGTCTTCATTCATATTGTCTTTTTATAGATATATTATAGTTATATCTGAAATATCACACATATATCTGTTTGTATGTATGCGCATTTATCATCATTGTTTATGTTCAAGTCTAGTTATAAGTCATTTTTTCGAATACATATTTCAAGGAAAACAGGGTTTCCTTATTTGTTAGATTGGTGCAACACAATCTTCCTCTTCGTCTCTGTACCATACTAAATTTAATTAATATCAATGAAATGGAATTACATTATTAACTAATGTTATTCCATTATTCCATATATGCTAGCATATATATATATATATATATATATATATATATATATATATATATATATATATATATATATATATATATATATATATATATATATATATATATATATATATATATATATATATATATATATATATATATATGTGAGTGTGCATACGTGGGTGTGAGTGTATGTGTCATATATATATATATATATATATATAGAGAGAGAGAGAGAGAGAGGGGAAGACGTTCGCACAGAAAGACGCAGATGCATTTAGAGAAAAAGCGAGATTATCATGAAAGAAAACTGATTTGCCTGACATAGTCATATAAAGTTTTCTAAGTTTCAAATAATTCAATCATCAATTGTGTGATGTTCATCAAATGAAAATATAAAGCATGATTGGAGGGCTTTATCATTTGGTAACGATCAATAAATTGCTGATTGAATCATTATTCATTTGAAAGTTCCATTTGAGACGCTTGTATATATATTTTAATTACGTGTGTGTATGTATGTGTGTGAGTGTGTGTGTGTACTGTATGATGCACAAATTAAAAAAAAAAAAGAATCAACTGAAAGATGAAAAGATATTAAGAATGTTGAAATGGTAATCTACCTTTATGTTGGGCGTCGCAATTGTCGCGGTCGGTGATGGTGGAGGCGGTGGTGTCGTTTTTGTCGTGAATGGAATTTTTGTGATTGTTGGGGCTTGTGTTGTAGTAGGAGTGGTAGTGAGAGGAATGGTAGAGGTCATTGTAGTTGTTGTTGTAGTAGTAGTAGTAATAGTAGGAGGGGGAGGAGGAGAAGGAGTAGTAGTAGTTGCAAACGTTTTCGTGGTGGTAGTAGGAGCGGTAGTGGTAGTAGTAGTAGTGGAAGGAGTAGCAGTGGGAGGATTGAAAGGAGTCGTGTTCACCTGGCCCACCAATGTGGTATCATTTGTTGTTATATTCACGTCCGGTACACCTGCAATAGAGAATTAAAAAAAATGGCTACAGATTAGAAAAACAACTGAAGAAAAATGGCGGCATATTTAAAAATCTATCAAACAAGTCTTCATCCAGTTGTTTATCGCCTAAAGGAAAAAAACATGGTTAAAAATATCGGATGGACTTATAGACTAACCGCAACGGTGTTCATCGGAACCATCACCACAATCAATGCTGTCATCGCATCGCCAGCGGACCGGAATACAGTCGCCATTGTTGCATCGGAACTCCTTAGGTTTGCAGTGGGTAGCAGCAACTAGAGGAAGTAACATATAGAAACACGTTCAATACGACGTCGGGGTTTCAGGGCTATAAAAAGAAAAACTTTTCTACTGAGGTGTGACTACGAATTCATGCACCAGCATGCAATTCAATTTCTAGGTGAAGGGAATCTAATGTTAGCAAAAATGAATTTCATTATTAGTCTTCCGCTCTTCTCAGTTGACATCTTTTTCGCCGTCCAAGTGTTAATAAATAATTTCCACTTACCAACATCGCATTCTCGTTCATCTTCTCCGTTCGAACAATCTTCTTCGCCGTCACATTTCCATCCAAGTTTGATGCAGTCGCCATTACCGCAATTCATCTCATCTTCATCGCAGTCAGACACAACTGACAAAGAAAGAGAATTTATTTTAATTATAGCCATAGAATGAAGTTTTAATTATAAAACTATTAATGAAAAATAACTAACAGAGTTTTATTAAATATTTTATCTAACATTAAATTGCCATTTGTCATTTTCGAAACTCATCAATTCTTGTACTTCAGCAACATCCAGAGTAATCTCCTATAATTTTTGGCAAAAAAGATAACTTTTTCAATGAATTATTTTTATACTTTATTTCCAATGACATATTACTCTTCGCCACTACTTTCCATTTGATTACAGTTTTATTACAGTCAATATACGTACATATCTACTCATAGATTACAGTGACCTCTTTCAACTGTTTAAGTAATTGTATCTTACGTAATGTTTTGTTAAACAAAATGTACCTCAAGATGGATTCGAGGTAGTGAATCTGTTGAGGAAAAAATCAGTTAATGATTGCTTAATTGACAGCGGCTTATGTTTTGCTGATATCAAATGTAAAAAGATGACAGCTAAAACGCTAAAGCTTTTCATTAAAACAATTAATTTACCGGGGTACAAAAGTTAGTTAAGGACTTTGAAGATGTACAAGCAAAATATACAAAAGGTTTGTGAATCTTCCTCAGCTGTAAGTGAATGAGGAAAAGATAGAAAAAGAAAAAGTCGCATTATTTTGAAACTGCCAAGAAAGCAACGTACGCAACATCTCCATGGGCGACAGATGCGGTGGGTAAATAGAAATATGTCAGCTTCAAGATCCAAGAAACCAAAAATGTCAAAAGAAAGCACGTAAAATGATTTTGATTCCATTCAGACTTCAAGTGCTAAACAGAGATATGCAATATGTAAGACATAATTGAGATAGAATTAAAGAATTTACATTTTCTAGGTTAGTGGCATGACGTTTGCTCGACAGCTCAAGTCATTGGTAGATACGTGAGTGGAGGAGGAAATTGGAAATGAAATTTTTTGCTTTTATACTCAAATCGAAAGACATAACATGAAAAGAAACCGTCAAGCTCACCTACACAAATAAACTGGGTCGTGTAAGAAAATTAAGTATTAATTGCTATTTACAGGTCTGAAAATGAAAATAAAATCTACAATAGTTGAGGCAAGTTTTAATCGAAGATGCTCTGGTAAGATGTATAGTCAGGAATCAAATTTGAATGCATCAGTTTTGTCTCCTTTGTCAGTAACGCTATTTCTTTTCATATAAAAAAAGATAAATTTTGTACAGAAAAAAGAAAAAAAAAAGAAAGGAAAAAGAAACAACAAAACGGGATAAAACCATAGAAAAAATGTGAATGTAAATGGTTTTGGTTTTTGTGTTTTAAAAGTAAATACATTTTATACATTGCTTTTCTTCACTTTTCTCCATAATATGTAGAAAAAACCTTCCTTGATCTATGTGTAGATTGTACATAAACTGAACAGGAAAGTCGTTTTAAACTCATTCTTTCTTTTTTCTGTCTTTCTTTCTTTCTCTCTTTCTTTCTTTCTCTCTTTCTTTCTTTCACATACGCAATCGCAAGATATGTTTGATGTGATTGGATAATATTCTGCGTTAAGTAATGCTCTCATCTGTTAGGCTAGCCATATCAAAGTCGTCTGATTGCTGGTCATACATTCTGAAAATAAATAAATAAAGTTATGAAAATTTCAAGTTGTTCTTGAAAGCAAAAGTATTGACGTTTTATTTCTCTTGGTTTTGTAACTGTTCGATTATGCTGGGTGTCGCTTGAAGAATGGGCGTGTGCAAGAGTTGTGAAGACTATGCCCACCCTGATCAGAACAACAAAATAGTTTCGTTATCCATGTCATAAATGTCTCCAGAAAGGAGTTTTTGAAAGGATTTTGATTTTGCCATCTTATTCATGAAACTTGAGTTCAAATTCTTATTATAATAAAGAATTCAATGTTATTTTACAAATTTAGAAGCAAATTATTTACAGAAGATTATTAATAATTCGCTATATATATATTGTTTAAGTGAAATAAATATGACATAAAAATGTGTCATATTAGATCAAAAATATCTTGTAGAGTAAATTTAATTTTTGCAAATTTTCTTTCAGATTCTTTTGTCGAACAAAATAAAATACAATAGGCCATTTTGTCCTTTAAGTAGAGTTATATGTAAGAAAACAACGTTCAAGTATTTTAAGAGTAAAATTTGTGCTTCAGTTGACATAAAATGTGACGTAGAATTCTTTCGAAAAAATAAACATAACGAGAGAACAGAATTAAAAAAGAAAAGTTTACACGAAATAAATCTGATGTTCTTCAATAGTCTTCGATTTTGGACAATTATTAAAACTTATTTAGCAAACTATTAGTACATGTATCACAAGAGTAAACAAGAGAGAAAGAGATATAAAGAGAGTTTCTATCAGTAAGAGAAAAGGAAAGGTAGCATTTAGCACTTGTTGAAATAATACCCTTTTAATGAAAAGTATAAGAATAATTATCTCCTAACATGTCCAGTGGGTCCAGTTAGTGGCTCTGATGAACTTGCATATGTTCCATCATAAATGCTAGTCGATTTTCAAACTCTAAAAAGTCAGGATCTAAAATGCAGATTTTCAAAACTACCATCGTCAACTGTCTTGAAACTCTAGCGAATCATAATTTACCTCCATGTAACTTTGTACAAGATAAAATTATACTTAGTATATACATGTCGAATTAGTGATGCGATGATCTTAAGTTCATAATTTGCATCAATAAAACTTATTTTATTTGGGCTTTATTAAGAAATGTGTTTGCCGGAGGAATTATTAGCAGCTAGTAACTTAAAAGGAAGGTTGTATTCTCATTATAAACTTTGCTGATACTGAAGAATTTTATATTATAATTCGACTCTTCAATTTAATTTACTGAAGTTGTTTAGCATGAGAGCCTGAGATGATGACAAAAAATCGTTCATAATGATAATTAAGAAATATCTTTTGTCTAGGGAGTAAATCTAATTATCTCTCTTAAAGTTACAGAATGAATTTTCTTACCTCCATCGTCACAAGATAATTCATCCAATCGGCTGCGACAGTCAATTTCATTGTCGCACACCCATCTATTTGAGATACACTGGTCGTCTCCACAGTAAAATTCGTCATCTTTGCATGTTGATGGACCTAGAAAAATATTATGGAACATTACAAGATCTGAAGATATTTTTAAAGAGAAAATCAGACTGGCAAGAAGAAATAGCATTTCAATCGAAGCAGTGTAAACAAGTCATGATATCCATAACTTTGGATTCATCACTTTATAAGTCCAAACTATTCTTTTGAGTTGCAGTGATTGTCATTTTTAAATAATCTATAATTCAAGTGTTGATAAAAGTCCGTATTACTTCACGTATGCATGCCATCAATACTTCTATTTGCTACGAGCAAGCCAACAGTCGTGATTATCATTGCTATCGCTTATTATGAATATTGCCAACTTTTTAAATCAATCTCACTTTTAATAAGAGGAGAGGGGCATAAAAATGTATGTCGAAGTATATGTCCCCCTTTTTTTCCATTGCTTAATGATTAATAATTTATTTGATCATTATTTATATAGATTATGCATTTTAAAGAGAGGTATTTCAATATTGGATTATCTATCACGATTATTTATACCATTCCATTGTGACAAGTACAATCATCCTGTTTATTATATTCACAAGTTTTAGGTTTTTGCTAGAACCTAGCATGTACGATGATTCTTCCAGTTGTCTTATAGTCCAGTGTTGTTCTTATTCCATTATTTTGATATCATTCCACAACGATAGATGACCACGCCTTTTCTCCCCATATACGATCATCTATGCCTCATGTCTCAATGTCTCTCCTTGGACGAGGAGTTGGCTGCTTAACTTTAAGGTGCGGCTGGTCTCGCTCTTATATTTCTTGCCACAACGAATAGAATATTCCCGATCATGCACGCTTCTAAGGGGTTCCATAATGAAGGGCTGTCCTGATATTATTTAGACAGCAGATTCTTTTCTTATATTCTCCTTAAGAGACAGTGGCAGATGAATTATTGTTGTCATTGACTCTTCTGTCCTCGCTCAAGAACAACGATATTATGTTTGCAGTGAAATTGTGACCTTGAAGTGTCTACTGATCCCCACCCTATTGTTTTGGGAAATGTAGCTAGGAGGGAGAGGAGATGGCAGAGGTGTGAAGAGAGGAGAGAAAAACAACTCGAAGAAATTTAGTACTTGTTAAATCAACAAACATCACTCTATAAAAATCAAGTTGAATTAATTTCCCGATAAGAAATATACTAAGCAAAACAATTTGATTAAAATATTCAATATTGAAACTGCTGCTTATTATTACTTTATAATTATTATTTATTTCTCTTAGATTTCATTACCACAATCAGCTTGTCATTCTGTAATCGTTAGAAAGTAGCGTGGATCGAAAAATAAAGCCTCCAGTAACAGGTAAACTGACATCCCTTATTGCCGTGAGCTTGCATTTTCTGTTTTAATGGTTAACCTATGGAAGTAAAACAGTTACGGCAATTCAAATCGATTTTTTAAAAATCTTATTTAACCGAAATATATAATTCATATATAATTTCCACCTTATTTAATTCATATATAATTTCCACCTTATTTCTCTGTATGATAAGCAACCATCTTCTTTGTTTACATATCTTCATATAGCAAATGAATTTCTTAATTTTCTTAAATCAAGTATTGTCAATAATTATCACTTTTTCACTAATATTTCACTTGGTTTCTTTTTTATTGCAATTCTTATCTGAAAATCTTATCTACAAAACAGATCTCGTACATATTCGCCGACTGAACCGTATGAGAAAGGCAAAGATCTACAAAACAGATCTCGTACATATTCGCCGAGTGAACCGTATGAGAAAGGCAAAGATCTACAAAACAGATCTCGTACATATTCGCCGACTGAACCGTATGAGAAAGGCAAAGATCTACAAAACAGATCTCGTACATATTCGCCGACTGAACCGTATGAGAAAGGCAAAGATCTACAAAACAGATCTCGTACATATTCGCCGAGTGAACCGTATGAGAAAGGCAAAGATCTACAAAACAGATCTCGTACATATTCGCTCCGTATGAGAAAGGCAAAGATCTACAAAACAGATCTCGTACATATTCGCCGACTGAACCGTATGAGAAAGGCAAAGATCTACAAAACAGATCTCGTACATATTCGCCGACTGAACCGTATGAGAAAGGCAAAGATCTACAAAACAGATCTCGTACATATTCGCCGACTGAACCGTATGAGAAAGGCAAAGATCTACAAAACAGATCTCGTACATATTCGCCGAGTGAACCGTATGAGAAAGGCAAAGATCTACAAAACAGATCTCGTACATATTCGCTGACTGAACCGCAAAGGCAAAGATCTTAATCATGTTGTACTTCTCATATTCCATTTCCCCTTTTCATATTCTAAACAGGAAATTGATACAATTATTCTCAACACAATGCAAATTAAAGAAAAGCCCACCTGATATTCACATACAAATATTACTCATAAATTTTTAAATAATCTTAATATATTTTGTCATATTTTTCGGATGCTTCTTGAACATCCAAAAGCGAAGTAATTGAAATTCATTTTTCTTTTAGTTTTGAAATAGAAAGATAAGGTTGAAAAGTACTTCTTGCCATGGTTCTATGATAAATCAAAAAGCATATAGCAAAGAATCCTTCCGTTATATCAAAGATAAGTTGTTGCTCACTTGACAACTGATTTTAAGAAAACAAATTTATTTCTCGGATTATCGAGTCTTGTAATAATAAAATGCATGATCAAATGGATGTAATAATGAAGTATTATCCTGTTAATGTCGATATTATTAAAGAAATACTGAACTTTAATGACATTCGATGATGATTAGAAAAAAGTTGAAAAATGTGACTTACAGTTTTCTTCGTCTAGTTTGTTATCACAGTCATGTCGGTGGTCACACACCCATTTTGGAGGAATGCACTTGCCATCGCCACATGAGAAATTGTTTGGAGGTTCACATTCGAATTCCTCGGCTGAAAGAAAAAAAAACAAAATTCAATTGTATAAAATAAAAAATGCAAAAAAAAAAACTCCAAAAAAAGAAAACCAAAAAACAGTTAAATGAAGAAATTTCCAGCAAAAGTTCTCAAGGTTTAGAGAATTAAAGAGAAATGTAGCAACGAATTAATTGGATATCACACAACATAAAACAGTATTTATCGTGAAATAATCGCTCAAACAACTACATGCTCTTCGACTGGTGAACGAGATTCGTTTGGCAGTCAAAAGAAATGATTTGCTACGTCATTGAAGCAACAATTTTGGCAGGTTGTGGTAAAGCGAAGATGTCTTTATTCATCTGATCCAAACAGAATTTAAGCAACTTCCGGTAAGTTTTTCATTTACAAAGATCATCAACAGTGTATCAGTTTTCAATCTCACAGTCAGTAGAATTAATTTGGAATGGCATTGTTTTTTCAATGTTCCATTTCTTGCTTCTTTACCAGAGTTGTACGTTTCTTTTTCCAGAGATGTGCACAGTAGAAATTACCGCTTTTCTCTCTTAAGAATAATAAAAAAAAGAAGTTTACCAGTTTACTGGTTACAAAAATTAATGAAAATATATGTTATTTACACTATTTACATTGTTCAGGCTATTGTCCTCATCTTTATTGTCATATTTACGATGTTTCTACCGTTATACACTCCGGCATTCTTCAGGTGATATACGTTGGAATTTTGAACCGAACCCTTTATTTCGTCTACTGGGGTAGGTTGTTCTAGTTCCACGTGCCATGCCTTTTCTAGGTATCTCAGTTTCAGTTATTTCCCTTTTAGTAATTCAACAGTTCAAGTTTTTGTTCACCTCTGTTTGGGCGAAGTCACTGGATTACTTCAACCAACGAATTTACCCATTGGGTCATGTGTCCTTAAGTTACTAAAAGGGAGATAACTGAAACTGAGATATCAAGAAAAGGCATGGCATGTAGAACTAGAACAATCTACCCCGGTGGACGAAATACAGATTTCGGTTCGAAATTCCAATGTATATCACCTGAAGAAGGCCGGAGCGTACAACGGCTGAAACGGCGTAAATAAGACAATAAAGATGAGGACAGTAGCCCGAACAATGTAAATAATGTAAATATTTACAATACCTCATCTCAGAAAAATAGACAAAATATATCTCTTTAAAAACATTTTTCGAGAATAGGAAAATGCTGCCGACTTTGATTAGAAAAATCAAATTGACTGACTTTGATTACAAATAATCGCATAAAGTAATTATACAAAATAAGTTGTATATTTGGCAAAAAAAATCCTAGAAAATAAAAATTGTGAAAATAGAATTTTATCTTAGTCTTTAGATTTATTTAAATAATACTTATGGATTTGTGAACTTTTATAAAATTAAAATAGAATAATTTCGGTCAAGTGAAATTTTTGGCATCTTTTTTCTTAAAACAATTGATACAAAATATAGTAACCTCACATGATTTTATTTACTTTAAATATTTATAAATCCCAGTAAGGCTAGCGACTTTTGCTAGTAAGATAATAAGAATGAAAAAGTTCCTTAAAAATGTTGCTGACTGATCATTGCCTTCGGCTATGACTGAATGTAATTGTTTGGCTCAGGGCACGTGCAATTTTATGTTTTAGATCTATTACTGCTGGCTGCTTCAAGATAAATCTTGCAGACGCAGCAATTCCATTTGATGTTACTGTGGCAGTTTTATTGATAATAATTTTGTCTGCTCCAATATCGATCGAAATATCTTAAGGACAAATTTGTCTATCGTCGTAATCAACGTTGACTTCTTGAAGAAATGCCAACAGATGTTTGGTTTTAAATAGATTTCGTTAATGGTGTATTGAAAAAGAGAAAATGTTTTTTATTGATGAAGTAACTCAAATCCTTTCACACTTTAGCAGGAAGAATTAAAGATATTCACCGTTAGAATTATTGGCATCGAAAACATTATTTCTTTCTATTCGCGATTGAACGCAGAAAGGTAAATCAAAATATTCTGCCATCATGAAAATGAAATCTGATTTTTCAATACAGCAATCATAAATGAACACGAAAACAGATAATAAGATCCTTATTACTGAAAGTTTTTTTTTTAATTTTTCCGATAAGAAAATGTATAAGGGTCGATCAATAAGTTCGTAAAAACACGTGGTTATTAGTTGAATTTTTCCTTGAAATTTACAATATATATTTACTCCATGTGATCGATATTTTCTAGCAAATAAATATTTGTTGCATAAAATAAATATTCTTTTAATCATTAGGATACGTATTTGTATATTTATTTATGGGTCATGATTCTTGTAGCAAACCGAAATTTTCCATGATCAATGATTTAAAAGATCAGAAACTGATTAATATAGACAATATATTATATGATAATATAGACAAAAATTGTGCTTTTATATAAAGAAATTCTGAGTATAATTCTATAATTAATCTTCAAAATATTGATGAATAAAAGCTGTTATTTTGTTGACTCGTTTCAGTCGAGGTGAAATCGAAGTAAATTTGCCGAGGTTGTTACAAAAAGCGAGTAATTTATAATTTACGATTTAAAATTCATCTGCGATAATTGAATTACTAGTGTCCATTTATTAACTCCCTTGAGTCTGTATATTGCATTGACTCACAAGAGGAAATGTTAAACTTTTTTTTAAAAGTGCTAAGTTCAGAATGAAGGTTGTTCCTATGACCATCAACTCTTTACCTATTTTTTTTACAGTTCATTGAAACATATCAAGTCAGTGTCACACTATAAGAATCCATATTCATTCTTTTGATGATTACTAAATTGAAAAAAAAACTTGATAAAACGCTGTGAATGATAAAACAATAAGTTCTGTTATTTCTGAATCAATCGATGTGTACGTTAAGAGGCTTAAGTAGATCTGTAATAATGTGAGAATCGATGAAAAAACGTCAATTGTTTTATAAGCGGTTGGCGAAATCTTAGTAGAGTTTGCTCTTAAGCCGGAAAAATATTATAGCGACATAATAAATAAGGTTGAGATTTCAAGGTTGACAACTGATCGACATTCACTGTTAGGAAGATCTAATTTCACCTTTGCTCTCCTAATCAATAAAGTATTGACCTTTGATAACGCGATACTAACACCGTCAGCCAAGTATACCTGACTATTGACTTGACTAGTAAATATCGCCAAAAAAGGAAAAGAAAAAAAAAAAGACAAATGATTATTGTGGTGTGGAAATTAAACTCAAAAATATCGACAAGTAATCAATAATCTCCGCAACTGACAAAACTGTCTTGTCATTATAAGCCATTGTCTAGCGAAGTGTCAATATTTGTTTATTTCCCTTACCGCCTATCCACACACAAACTATTAAGTTTAATAAATATTAATAACTATCACTAAACCATCATCTTATAATTTTGACTGTTTTTTACGTTACGTCCTGCCGTTACCTCAGATAAACAATAGACCATTCCTGTTTGAATCCGGGGATAGTTCGCCTGCCCATTGTCCACAAAACGGACAAAAATATATATCAAAGGCGATGTCTAGTTTTAGAGAAAGGAAAAGAAGAAAGAGAGAAAAAAGGGGAAGATAGAGAAGGCGATAAGGAAGGGGTGGATAGAGAAGGTGATAAGGAAGGGGTGGATAGAGAAGGCGATAAGGAAGGGGTGGATAGAGAAGGTGATAAGGAAGGGTGGATAGAAGGCGATAAGGAAGGTGGATAGAGAAGGTGATAAGGAAGGGGTGGATAGAGAAGGCGATAAGGAAGGGGTGGATAGAGAAGGCGATAAGGAAGGGGTGGATAGAGAAGGTGATAAGGAAGGGGTGGATAGAGAAGGCGATAAGGAAGGGGTGGATAGAGAAGGCGATAAGGAAGGGGTGGATAGAGAAGGCGATAAGGCTCTCATGTGCTTAACTTCTGCTTCATGGAAATGAAAAACCTTGTCAATTTTGAATCTTTTCGTTTGTATCCCTTACTGATTTGAATAATAACCTGCATTCATATTTATAATTATTATTGTAATATTTTGTTAATATCATGAAGCTGAAATATTTAACGAGGCAATACGAGAATTTCTCAGGTTATTTTATAGCTGAGGAACTCGCAAGAGCTTATGCAATGCATCAGAAAATTCAAATAGGAAAATCAGGAAATTTTAATGGGTATTTTTCTTGGACTACTATTATGCTTGATTTCAAGTTTTATTGTATTCGTTCGTTATTAGATTAATTGTAAGATAAACATCGGTACGTGTGTAATTTGGAATTGTGTTTTATCTTGTTATGTAGTAACATTTGTACGAAAGAATCCTCTGGTCGTTTTTGTTTCTTTTTTTTTTAAATTGAAAAATATGTTAAAAGAATGAACTGTGATTCAATGACAAAATAAACGAGATATTGTAAAATTATTGAGTAATGGGAACATCATTTTCGAAATTGCGAAAAAATCGACAAGAACTCACCGAAAATATAAATTAAAATCATTGGAAAAAATAAGAAAAACTGACTTTAAGAATGTGACAAAAAGAGATTTGAGAAGAATTAAAAGTATAATGAGCCAGAAGAGTAAATCAACCAGTAAGAAAATATTGGAACAAAGATGGTGTTCCAAATGTAAAGAAAGAAAAGATGCAGAATATTAAAGATATTAATTGAAGACATGAAAACAACCAAACTGCACCTCATTTAAGTAAATATCGCAAATTGAAACCTGTAAGTAAGGTGAAGAGATACATGAAAATTTATATTTAAGCAGTATATTTTAATGATGAAAGTAAGCGCGACATTGGAGGTATCTGATGGTCAGGG